ATTCGTGCTATCGCATATTGACGCACCTGCGCGACATTCGAGGTGTTTTAGGAAAAAGTATACATAGCGTTAAATATAGCGTGAGCGACATCAGAAACAAGGTTTTGTATGCTGACAATTACCTTACCAAAAGGGGGAACGGTTGCCAATCCGCTAGCGACCGCAACTCGGAGCACGTTGGGCAAAAGCTCACGCTGCACAATCCAGGCATCTTGGCCTCAATCACCATTTTTCTTTTTCTAGATTAAAATTGTATTGGCACGCATTTGTGTACTCAACACTGTGTGATGTAATTTAAAGAAACCAGGCTATCGGTCGTACGGCCAGTACCACCACTGGTGAAGTTTCTCATCTACAGCCGAGACACCAGGCGCTCCTTGCTGCAGGCTAATTTCCCGCTGTCCAAACTCCCACGTAACAAACTTAACTTACTTATCAAAATATGGATCGCAACAATCACTAAACCACCAACATCAGCCCCCAATCACGGGGCGAATGAGATGCATTCACCTGCTGCATAAATTTGGCCTTTTCTAAATTGGGCGGCAGCTTGTGCCGCCTCTTGTCATTTGGAGGAGGCCTTCGAAGTGGCTGCTTTGCTCTCGTAGGAGCGGGCACAGCAGCCACAGCAGAACTGTGCTGCAGCAGCATGGCAGAATCAGCCACGCTTATGGCACGAGACAGCTGCAGCGCGCGGCGCAGTGAGGATGGGGAGAGGCGCACAACCGGGCCCATTTTAACGCCTGTCCGGCACAAAAAGGGAGGGGTGGGGGGGCATTTTTCTGTGCGATGCTACTGATTTCGCTAGGATTTTGGCATTACAAATAGAGTCCCAGATCACGTTTCCTCAAGCGAATATTATCGCTCCAAGGTGGAACAATTTGGGACTCGGATCGAGCAAGATTGGGAATTTTGGATCCCGACAAAGATTGGTGTGTGGGTCAATCAAATGCCAAGACAGCATAAAAAAGTTCCAACTGCCCATGAAAAGTGCTTTTTTTAAATATATACCCTTGTCTGTGTGGATCCTTTCAAATGTGCTGACGTATATGCAAAATAAGAAAACAAGCGTGCTCATTGCGCGAATGAAGCGGAGGGGTGCATACTCAATCAACGACATGAGCAAAACGAAAGTAAACAAAAGCACACACGAGAATGCGGCATGCAGCAAAGGTGGCGCCACATTTGCCGTGCCTTCTCGGTTTTGTGTCTAAATAATTATTTAGTGTGCAACCTTGTGCCTAGATGGCACTACATGACTATGTTGTTGCGTACAGGCTTTTTACGCAACATAGTCATGTAGCGCCATCTAGACACAAGGTTGCACTCTAACAAATTATTTGAACACAAAACCAAGAATGTGCGGCGCGGCGATGGCAGAAGGACGTGGCGGCGGTGTCAACTATCGCTGCTGCCGCAGTATGTCTGTTTTCTACGCGCGTCACTTGAGAGCGACAATTTACGTCAAATCAATTAGTTTCCACTTAGCAGAAAACAAAAATATTTCTTAAACAAAAATTCGTTGTAGTAGTCGGAGATACACATTAACGCACATTATTGGTCACGACTTTATTCTACTTCATTAAAAGGGCGTTTTCGCAGTAGAGGTGCTCGTTAGAAAGGCGTTTGACTGAATCAGCAGAACTGCAGCTGAGTGCAGTTGTCGAGATCACACTGTATCATGCTCGGCATTAGTTGGCAATAGGAGCTTAGACCATCAATGAGCTGCTTTTCTCTTCAATACCTCCGTGGGTGGCATGCAAGGTAGCTGCACCCAAGCAGATAATGTTGATCATCAAGCTTGACCCTGATGAAACAAATACCCACCGCTTGAAGTTGTTACATCATTACAAAATGTAAATAAGTGATGTCGAGTCTTTCAAAAATCTCAGAAACAATGCCAATAAAATAAAAAAAAGTGCATTCATTTTTGTTTTTGTCAAAACAGTGTAAACTTTAAATTAATATAAGATCTATGAAAATAATAAGAGTTCATATTCTTTGTGCTGTGCTTCGTGCCCACACCTTATCTGCTTGCCGTTATCTGGTTCAAAAGTTATAAGCAATTTTTTTTTTTAATTTTCAATGAGAAAATGGGGCACCCGTTCCTGGAGCGTTCAATAAAGCTCACATTTCTTGGGCTTCATGACCCATATTTTCCCCTAAAAATTTCAGAAAATCGCCTCCAACTTTAAAGGGGCGATGCAACAATTTTTATACCTTGCACAAATACCGCTTAAAACGGATCTCTGACGTTAATGACCTATGAAACACGTGTTCGTTTTCCACCTCACGCAAAAGAAATTCCAAAACAAATCAAACAAAAATGAGCACCGTTCACCCCCTCAACTCGCAGCCAGAACAAGCGGCCACGTGATCTGGAGCCGATTATATGCCGCCAATGTTGGTCATAGCCACGCGCTGGGTTTGGCAAAGCACAGGACACGCGCCGAGTTCCAGACATTGTTATGGCTCGGCTATTGCCACCGTTGCAGCGATCGGACACGGGCCACTGCCCGAATGCATGTCGAGGCATCGATTGCCATGAGCCCAGATCGAATGCGTACGCAGTCTTCGCATCCACTGTGTGAGCAGCATTTGAATATCGTCACCGCAAAGCTTGATGACGCATTCCCCGGGATCGTACTGTTGCCATTGTCCCCACAGCTCCGTCATCAAATTTCGCGAAGGAGCAAAAGGCAACTTTGGAAGGAGAGACTGAAAGAAAACCTCCACTTTCATCCTTTGAATTCCGCCGCGACAAAGACGCTTCTTGGTCAGTGATGTTGCGTTTGGGTACTCTTGGGTTCCACTAGTGCCAGGAAGCTGGTGTAAAGTAAGAAATATTCCTACCCAATGTCGTTGCACAGCCCCTTTAAAGCCAGATAACAGCAAGTTCTAAAACTTTGGTTCTAGTTGGGACTAGCACAATGTTTATGTGGAGACCGAGTGTTCACCGATGCATAATTAATTTTGATGGTCGAAAAAAAACCCCTACATTTCTTTCATGATGAAGTCACGAAGTTTGGTGTGCGCCAACACCCATAAGAAATAAAATGCAAAAATTGGCCAATCTTGCATTAGCGCTAACACATCACGCAGTGTAGATGCAGGCTGCGGAGTGGCCTCCTCACCTTGCCGAGGTCCATGAAGCCCTTGCTCTGCAGCACCAGGTGGAACTCTTTGGCCATGAGCGACACACAGTCCTGCACCAGACGCCCCACCAGCAGCAGGGCACCTTCTGCCCAGCGGACGCGGGGAAGCGTCACCGACAGGCGCTCGCAGTTCAGGGCCATCTCGATGGCTGTATCCGCCGTCTGCAAGCATTCGTGTGTTGCTACTGCATGGCGCAGGTTAAAAACTCCAGGCTCTGTTTCACCTTTAGATGTAACTCGGGGGTTCCCAAACTTTTTCACCTCAAGGAACACCCATTTGCCTCGAATAGCAGTCGAGCAACCCGACCCAGTCTCAGCATCTCTTTAATAAATAGGGCTATGCGAAACTCAAGTTTTTTTTAATGGTAGTTTCGAATAATACGCTATTTGGCATCTGCTCCAAGGTGAACTGCAATATTTTTATTTTTTAAAGTGTTTATCGTGGCAACTTAGCCCCGTTGAGTGTGCTTCATGCCGAGCACCGGTACACTGCAGAGAAGCAACACCCAGGGAGCTCGCTTCAGCAGGTGGTCATTTTCCAGCGTGCACCAGTGCTCGGTAAGAAGCGCATTCAAGAGTGCTAAAACGCCGCGATAAATGCTTCGAAAAGTACAAATATTGTAGCCGCATACTTAGGAGGAGAGCACACTTCCTAAGTGGGACTGTGCATGCTTGCACCTGGTGTACTCAAAAAGGAACAAACTTCGTGAATGTTAATATTTACATTGCAGTAAAATTTTAAAAATTGGCTATTAAGCATACAACAGGCAGAGATGCCCTGACAACCTGCCTTGATAATTCGTGACTGAAGAAAAGATATTTGCATATAGCAAGAATATTTATGAATCCCTTCAATCAGGCATAGCTGGGTATCTATCTCTATAAGTTTAATTTTACATCAAATGTGTCGTTTACTTGCCATCACAATGTAGGCATTAGTTTCTGAGGCCACAGTCCATAAATATAGTAACTTTTAAATCCCGTACAACCCGAAATAAAGAAATAAATGGTGAAGAACATGAGGTGGACTATCTCTGAAGATGAGACAGCAAAACTTTATAAAAAATGAAAGCCGTTTACAACTCCCTGTAACACCGAATTCGAGCACAACTCTTGAGGAGGAGGAGGGAAGGGTACTGAGGGGAGGGTATACCCCTCCTCCCTCCTCTTCAGCTCGTGGTCCTGCCTGCTACTCCTCCCCGTCCTCCTTCACCTCCTCCTCCTCTCCTCATCCTTGAAACTCCTCCTCAAGGGAAAGTCACGTGAACTCGGAGGGGGGGGTTCATGTGACCTCACGGTTACGCCGACGCCGCTCAAGCCGGAAACGGGCGTCTTAGAGCTGCGCTCTAAAAATTAATGATAAACACAAGGGACACCCGCTAGTCTACAAAACAGGTGACACAGGAACTGATACAGCAGAACACGGACACAGCAGATTGGCGTTTCACAACGTGATAAACACGTGGGAATTCACAATGAACTCTTGCCACAGGAAAGGATACCACACACTGCGGCTGCAAAAGGTTGGTATTTCACGGTGTGATAAACACGCAGAAACCGGCTAAAATTGCGTGCCACGGGAACCGATATCGTGCATGCAGATCACGGACAAAAAACTTTCAGCCTTTCCACTATGGTGAAGAAGGAAGAGCAGCAGAGCTGTAGCTTCTCTTCTCGGCAGTGGCTTTCCAGGCAAGCGATCTGCTCTTCTTTCGTAAGGGAACCTGAAGCGCCCGACGCAGTCAAACTTTAGGCGACAGCGGCCTTGCAACGGTTAAGGCTGCGGTACCACGGCGGCCATCTTGAACAAAACATTAGTTGAACCACCAGGGCGGCGTTGGCTGTCCGTATGAGCAAATGCTGCAAAACCTGCGCGCCAATTTCGAAACCCTTTTTCCCGTCGCTTGCGACCTTGAGTTTCCTTCTCCACTCTTACGCCCCTCCTTTCACGTGTTCACCCTCTGGCGCGTCGCGCCCACGTTCATTGTTGGGAGGACAATGTACCGGATAATCCCCAACTTGAGGCCCCCTGCCAAAATTGTCCGGCTGCCAAGTGATTTGAGCGAGATGGGGTTTTGAAGCGGTATGGAAAAGTGGGACCGTCAATTTTGAACTATGCCTTTTCGATACTGCATAAGTTGTGTACGGGGCTGGCCAAGGCACGGGCGCGAGGACGTAACTGTATAGGTTGTTTGCACATGACGTCAATTGGCCATTTTGTTGTTAGTTTGTTTTTTCAAACAAATTTACTACATTGAAGGATTACATCGTAACCGATTGAGATGATGTCAGCGGTCCTCTACGCATTTGAGGGGGCATGTCAATCCTTGGAATGCTCGAGTCTGTCACACCCAGACAGCTCACAACAACAAAATGGTGGACGAAATTACGTCAGTGAAAACACCCTATACAATGCTTGGGTTGCAGGAGCACTCGCGCGTAGAAATGGTAGGACGCGCTTTCTGAAATCACACGCCTACATTCCGCAGCGTTGCAATCCTACAAGTAAAACAGAGTACATCTTCGGACAGTGCGTGAGTTGATGCCGGCCGTACGAAAGACACACCTCGCGCTTCCTGTCACTACTGCCTCTGCTTGCACGCGCTGCCGATTGGCGGTCCTTTCTTTATTTTGTTTCGTCGCTCTTTTGAAAATACTGAAACTAATATTTTCTCAGACCCTGCTCATCGTACCTCTGCACTACAGTTGTGTAAACACGTTGTGATGTAATTTGAGATATGGGACGGAGTGTCTACATTCTTATTTCGTGTGTAATGCCGGCATAATATTCCTTTGCTGCCAGAGGGTCAAAATAATGGTAGGGTCGGCAGCAAAAACTATTTCAATGACCGAATTATGATCAAACACCAGTAAGAACATAAAAAAGAAATCACATGGGGACAATAAAAATATTGCTACAAGAGGATGGTGCGTGGGGCACAAACAATATTCGGAGTGACGTTGAGGGAACGCGACAAGCCAGATCTTTCCTGATGGCAGCCGAAAAAGTTGATCTGGTGCCTCGTTTTGATCGGCTTTGCACGGAAACTCGTAAACTACCGACTATCTTGTCAGTGGTGAACATAGTGAGCATGAACTGGATGATTTTTTTGTTGTTGTTTTTGTTTCTGTAGTTAAATGAGAGTATGGAAATATGAGACGTCCGCTGACGCTTGCGTCGGCTAACGGAACCTCAATCGCCGATCGCGGCCGATGTCATGGGCGTATACAAATACATCAAGTCGTCTGGGCGGGAGCAGTTGAAGCACCGCACTTTTTTGGCCGGTCAGTAGAGACTCCGCGAATTCTGACTCGAGGCTACTCTGTGCGGAGGGAGCCGCTACTGAGCGCGACCAATCGGAAACCAAGGATGGCTGAAATTTCCTAATTGCCATGAGATTTGCAAATTCGTTCTTCCCGCCGTAGTAAATTTGTCCGAATCGCTATTCGATTTACTAATCGATTATTTGGATGAAAAGATATATTTCAAAATTCGTACGTGGCTCACCAAATGGCAATAAAATTGGTATAGGATTTCAAACCTATATAGTGTCGCCCTAATTTACAAACTTGTTTCACTTGAAATTAGAGTTCACGCGCAAGCGAGCTGGTGGAAGCCTATACTAAAAAGGCCAGAAACAAGAGAAACAAAAAATAAATAAATAAGAGCGGGATAAGCGCAACACAGTCTCAAATCACAGCTGAAAATGGTTACTTGGTAAGTGTAAATGTCCAGACATTGTATTAGTAAAATGTATATATATATATATAAAAAGTCAAAAATGCGTACTGTCGGAGTTATTAATTCGAAGTTTATTCCGACGTTTCGAGCGGGGATCGTTCTTCATTAGGTGATGAAGAGTGGTCCCCGCTCGAAACGTCGTAGTAAACTTCGAATTAGTAACTCTGACAGTACGCATTTTTGCCTTTATATAAAATTACTATACCTGATGCATCGGAAAAGCCGTGGTTCACGAAATCCCTGAAAAAAATGCTGAACACCAAAAGACGTACGTCTCTTCAAAAAGGCACAATCTCGGGATACTGACGAATTATGGTCTCAGTACGATACTCAGGCTAAGCTGTGCAAACGTGAAACCAAGGTCGCAAAATCCAACTTTTACGGCAATGGTCTAAAAAACTTGATGCAAAAAAATCCCAAGAAATTTTGGAAAATAATTAGCCCACCTAAAGACACAATTCCTAATTGTTTCTTAGACCAGCATGGAAATTTAATGTCACCAACGGAGTGTGCAAACAAATTTAATGAGTACTTCGGAGATGTTTTTACCGAAGAGTCTTACCCGCTGCCCCAGTGTGATTTGGCACACAACCATTCTTTATTATCGAAGATTAAAATTGACCCGGATGGTATTAACAATATAATACAAAACCTGCCCCTCCAGTCTTCTCCTGGTGCCGACGGCATCAGTTCCAAGCTACTAAAACTTACACAGCCATATGCCGGGCTTCTTCTTGCACAGCTTTATCAACAATCCTTAGACCAGAGCATTATACCGCATGACTGGAAACATGCAATCGTCACTCCAGTTTACAAATCTGGTAGTAAATCGTTGTTTTGTAATTATCGACCGATATCTCTCACCAGTGTCCCATGCAAGATTCTTGAGCATGTTCTGTACACTCATATAATGAACTTTCTTGTAGACAATGGTTTCATTTTCATAAATCAGCATGGCTTTCAGAAGAACCGGTCTTGCGAAACCCAACTTTTTGAATTATTAACAGATCTACACACAAACATACATTCGCGCTTTCAAACTGACACTATTTTTATTGATTTTTCTAAGGCGTTCGACCGCGTGCCACATAAACGCCTACTTAAAAAACTCGAGTGTCTTAATATTGATAGTTCTTTAATTAACTGGATTCGGGAATTTTTGACCAACAGAACACAGGCAGTTTCTTTTCATTGTAATGTTTCTTCTAGTATTAATGTGAAGTCTGGAGTTCCTCAGGGATCAGTTTTGGGCCCCTTGTTATTCCTTATCTATATTAATGATATTGCCACTAGCATTTCCTCTACAGTCAGACTCTTTGCAGACGACTGCGTTATTTATAGAACTGTAAAAAACCAGACCGACTGTCTCTCACTACAGCATGACTTAGACGCCCTCTCTTTATGGTGCGACCGCTGGCAA